AAATTGTAAATGTATAACTAAATGTATTCATTGAAATAATATTTATTATTATAAACAATTTTACAAGAAAAAGAAGAAAAATAATTTTGAAATTTAAATTTTTTTTATTTGAATTTATAATTAAAATTCATGATATAAATGCCATATAAATATTTTTATTTTTTACTTCAAATTTAAATTTATCAATTCAAGAAGAAATTTTTGTTTTTTTTTTTTTTCTCTTTCTTCTTTTTTGATTTGAAATGAGACAAATCTTGTTATCTTTTTCCAGCAAAATACATTCCACTCTTTCATAGCTTCTCAAAAAACTAATTAATGAATTCAAACTAAAACGGCAGGAAGCATCATCATCATACCCTCATTAAGTATCACTTTTTTTTTAACTTTTTTTTTCATTTTTTTCATTTTTTTTTTCCAAATTCTATTCAATTTTAAATTGCCTTCAAATATTCATTCATTAGCTATAAGAAAAAATGTACGACGAAGAAAATTATTGCTGAATTAATTTTATATTTTCATATTTTATTTTTATCAAATAAATTTTTCATCAATTATAATAGCTGCATCAATTCATTTTTTTCAGGAAATATTAAAAAGTAAAAAGTTGCATTTTGTTTTTGCTCAATTTTGGAAAAGAAAAAGAATTTTTTTTTTTAATTTAAATTTAAATTTTATTTATTTATTTATTTAGCAAAATTATTTAAAAAGCATTTAATTGATTATCAATATTTTTATTTTTATCAAATGAATTTTTCATCAATTATAATAGCTGCATCAATTCATTTTTTTCAGGAAATATTAAAAATAAAAAGTTGCATTTTGTTTTTGCTCAATTTTGGAAAAGAAAAAGAATTTTTTTTTTTTTAATTTAAATTTAAATTTTATTTATTTTGCAAAATTAATTAAAATATTTAATGTCAGTATTTTTATGCAATCAGAATTATTATTTATATTAATTATGATATGTGATAAAATTTGTGATATAAAGAGTAAATTTCATTTCATAAAAAGAAAAAATTTGAAGTCATAATGTTTTTATAAAATATTTTTCAAACTTTTTTCTTTATAATATTTAAAAAAATTTTTTTTGATTTAAATTTAAATTTTATTTACTTATTTTGCAAAATTAATTAAAATATTTAATGTCAGTATTTTTATGCAATCAGAATTATTATTTATATTAATTATGATATGTGATAAAATTTGTGATATAAAGAGTAAATTTCATTTCATAAAAAGAAAGAATTTGAAGTCATAATATTTTCAAACTCAGAAAAAAATTAAAAAATATTTTTCAAACTTTTTTCTTTATAATATTTAAAAAAAATTGTTTTTAATTTATATTTAAATTTTATTTACTTATTTTGTCTTTTTTAGTAATTTCTTACATTCTTTTTATACTAATTTATTGCAGTGATTGATTAATCGTTGAATTATTTTAAATTTTTCAAAACTTTTAAAGTTTATTAAATTTGATTTGATTAATTGAGAAATTTTGATGTTATCAGTGGTAACGTTGAGAAGTTATCAGTGATAACACTCATTTCATTTACATTTAATTTTAGTTTACTAAATGATTTCGCTTCTTCCTTTTTTTTTTGAGAAAAAGCATTTTAGTTAGTAATAGAAGAAAAGAGTAATGGATATGGTCAATAGCGCATGTGGCGTTAATGTTCCCATCGAGTTTCTTGTGGGCGGAAGATGAGAAAGAAAGAGAGAAAAGATATGAAATTTGATAATTTCGATGGAAAAATTAACCGATAATTTTAATTATTAATTGCCAAAATATTTAATCCAAAAACGAAATCATTTCAATGTATATTTCAATTTCAATTTAAGTATGTAAGTTTTTCATTTTTCAATTTCAAATATTTTTTTTATTCCTTTTTCATTAACCATTGTTATTGTTTGTAGTAGTAAATGTTACTATTATTATAATCGAATCTAATGAATATTCCAAAACTAAGCTAACGAGTGAATTCATTTTATTTGTTTGATTTAAATTTTAAAACTATTTAAAATTTAAATTTTAAATAAGCAACAAAAAAAAGAGAAAAAAAAAGGCAAATAATTAAATAAGAAACAGACAGAATAAAAGTAATAAATAGAGAAAAGATTTTTTTTTAAAAAAAAAAAAAAGAGAAAGAATGAATAGAAGAAAGTATTATCATCAGAAAACAAAAAAATTATTTTGTTTAAAAGTTTGAAGTTTCGGAAGGGATTTTGTCGCATGAATTTTAAATTGAAATATGACGTAAGGACTGCTAAAGCAAATTTTTATCATTTATTACTTTGTTTATTACTATTATTATATTTTTCATTATTATTTTTATTATTATTATTATTTATTAGTACTATTATTACTTTATTACTATTAATAATATTATACATTTTCTCATTATTATCATTTAAATATAATTATTATTATTTTTTATTATTATTCTTTAATTGTTATATTATTATATTTATTATTATTTATTATTATCTATTATTATTTTGTTTATTATATTATTATATTTTTTATTGTTATTATTTTTATTGTTATTTATTAGTACTATTATTATTTTATTACTATTAATAATATTATACATTTTCCCATTATTATCATTTAAATATAATTTTTATTATTTTTTATTATTATTCTTTAATTGTTATATTATTATTATTTATTATTATTTTTTTATTATTATTTATTACTACTATTACCGCTATTACCATTATTATTATTATTATTATTATTATTATTTATTACCGCTATTACTATTATTATTATCATTTAAATATATTTTTTATTTCTTTTATTATTATTTTTTGTTATTATATTATTATTTTTTTTTTTTGATTTATTATTATCTATTATTAGTTATTACTACTATTGTTATTTTATTATTATTAATATATTATACATTTTTCTATTATTATCATTTAAATATAATTTTTATTATTATTCTTTAATTGTTATATTATTATATTTATTATTACTTTTTATTATTATTTATTACAACTATTATTATTTGTATTATTATTACTGCTACTACTATTATTATTATTATATTACTTGTATTACTATACCAAATATTTTAAGGTTGAAAATTTTTTGAAATTAAATTTTAAAGCTAATTGCTATCATAATGATATTATCAGCAATTAGCAACTATTTCTATATAAGATGACACTTTTTTAATATTTTTTGTCACCAACAAATGATTGTCCTTGTACCAAATGTTAAATATTAAAAATAGAATAAGGCGCAAATGTCATCGTTTGGTGACAAGTGCAGTCTCGAAATTAAGTCGAAATTTGTAATAAAAAATATTTTTTATATCGATTTATTATATAATGAAAATGGAAAAAAAAAAGCAAAGATGAGAAATTGAAATGTCTTTTTTTTTTTTTTATTTGGAATAATTTATTAAAATTATTTATGCTAATTTATAATTATGTAAATTTATTGTTCAACTCAAAAATGTCCTTTTTAGCATTTGAAGCTAACATTTCCGGAAAATGAAAATTTATAAATAAAAAATTTCTGGAAAGATTAGAAATGATTTTTGATGCTATCTATAAGTTTTTTTGACATTTTTTAATTTTTAAATTATCTTATTCAAATTCAATTTCATATTCTTATCTTTTCATTCCTTTCGATTAATCTTTTTTTTTTTTTTTTTTTGTTTATCAAATTAATATTTATTAATTTAAATGAAATTTCAAATTACAAATTCCAATTATTTAATTATTTTTCTATTTCATTACACTTTCAGATTTGTGCTATTGATTTGAAGTTTATTTGACTCGTTTGAACTGATATTTGACCTGTTTGAACTGATATTTGATCTGTTTAAACTAATAATTGACCTGATATTTGTTTATCTGATGCTAGCAATAATGTTGCAATTAATTTTATTGATAATGTTTATTTATTGTTTTTTCTTTTTTTTTTTTTTGAAAATAAATTGTGAATTTTGAAATTCCCAGGATTGCTCTCAAATTTTTTGATTAAAATAAATTAAATTTTTAAATTAAGAAGAAGCAAATGACATAATGACGTATTTTCATTTATTTTATAAATCCTTCACGAAATGAAAAAGTTGAAAAAAAGAAGATTTTTAATTAATAATTATTAAATTCAGAATCTCTTCTTTTAGCAATAAAATTTGAAGCAAAAAAAAAAAGTGAAAAAAGCACTTTAAAATTTTTTTTTAACCGTTTATTATCGAATTTTCTCGTAATTTTTGCTTGAACGTCACTTTTGAACTTTTTAAAAAACTTTTAATTGTAAATATAATATTTAAATTTGCAAATAAATTAATATTTTAATTTAAAATTTTCATTAATTAAAAAAAAAAAAAACTGTCTTATTAATCTAAAAAAAATCAAAAATGGAATAATATAAAGTAGTTTATTTAACATTTATTTAATTAATTATGTAAATGAAATTTGAATTAAACGAGATTTTAAAAATATTACAATTGTAATTTAAAGAATTTTTTTTTCTCCTCTAGAAAATAAATTTTGCTAACTTTTTTTTTTAAAAAAAAATTAGTTTTTTTTTTTTTTTTTTTTTTTTTTTTTTTTTTTTTTGGAACAATATATGAATTAAAATTTATGATAAACTCTCAAATTTCTAATTTTGAATGATTTACTTATTATAATTTTATTTTCAAATCCATTTCTTCAATGTTTTATTTTTAACTAAAAGCTATAAAATTGCTTTTTTTTTATCGAAAAAAAAAGTGTTAAATTTTAAATTTTACTTAAAATATTCTTGCTATGAAGAAATTTTTTATTATTAACTGAAAAAGCAAAATAAAATTTTATAAAAGTTCTTGAAAGTTTCTAAAATCAATTTGCTATACATTATTGTGTATCAAATTTTAGCAAAAAGTAAAAAGTAAAAATGCAATTTTGATAAAATTTGTAATTTATTCTAAAATTGCAAATTTATATTTTTTAAATTTTTATTTCATGAATGGTTCAGCAATAAAATCCTGAATTATTTCATGGATTATAATAATACTATTGACGAAATCGACTTAAACAACGTTTGTTTGTTACATTTTTTTTATTCAATTAATTAAATATTTAAATTTAAATTTTAAAAAAAAATATAATTTTATTTAATCAATTAAATATTCAAATTTAAATTTTATAAAAGGAAGAATATATTTTTATTCAATTAATTAAATATTTAAATTTAAATTTTAAAAATTAAATTAGAATAAATGATCTTTTCCTTCCATAACAAACATTACTAATGATCTTCATTGCTGTTTTTTTTTTTTTTTTTTTTTTGTTAATTTCAAAAGAAAACTTTTAATAGCACCTGGAAATTTACAAAAATTAATAAATTTAATTTGAAATTAAAAATAAAAATAAAAAAAAAAAAGTTACAGGTTAAAATTACTTATGTTTTACCATTTACAAATCATGATAATGCTGGTCTGATGGCAATTGCATCACTTTATGCATTTTTATTTATGCTTGGTACTTGTGGAAATGCTGCTACATTAGCTGTTGTATTTCACGTTAGATCTGTTGATCCGAGGTAAATAAGTAAATAATTGGAAATTAATTATCTAAAAAAAAAAATTGATAATTTATTTTTTAATTATTAAATTTGTATTTTGGAAGATATATTTAAAAAATGATAATATCTGTCTAAAATTATTTTTCATACAATTTACTTTTTTACGTTTTTTTTTTTTTGAAAAATTAGTAAAATTTTAGATAATATCTGCTAAATTATTTTTTATATAATTTACTTTTTTTTTTTAAAAAAATTAGTAAAATTTTAAAATTAATCCATTTTTTTTTTTTTTTTTAGAGCTCGACAAAATGCTACTTTAACTTACATTTGTGTTTTAAGTATTATTGATTTTATAAGTATGCTACCATTACCGATGACAATTACTGATCAAGTATGAATTTATTTGTTGTTGTTGTTGTTTTTTTTTTTTTACTTTACTTTACTTTACTTTACTTATTTAAAGTATTATTTTTTTTTTTTGAAATAATATAATTTTTTATTTTAGATATTAGGTTTTTGGATGTTTGGAACAACAATTTGCAAATTATTTCGATTATTTGAGCATAGTGGAAAAATTTTTAGTACTTTAATTTTGGTATGTTTCAGTATCGATAGATATTGCGGAGTTTGTCATCCATTAAAGGTATATTTATTTGTTGGAAATTTTTTTTTTTTTTTTTTTTTTTAAATTTGCTTTGAAATTTAAATTTTTAATTACAAAAAAAATTTTTTTTTTTTTTTTGGTAAATTTAAAAATTTTTTCATTTGAATAAATATATGAAAATTAAATTAGGTTGCTTTGCTGCTAGTAAAATCATTGTTTGGCATTATTCACAACACAAAATTATTAACGGAATTGAACTTCTGGCGCTTTACTGAAAAAGCCATCCGGTTTTAATTTCAGGTTGAATTACGGAAAACAAGGACAGCTTATTTTATGCTAACATTTATGTTTTGTATAACTTGCATTATGCTTGCTCCAATCATAATTTTTGCTCAGTCAAAAGTTCATTTAATTTCTTCGTTTTTTTTTTTTTTTTTTTTCTTTAATTTTATAAAAATTATTGAAATATGTTATATAAAGAATAAAATTTTAATTAAATGAGTAGCAAAAAAAAAATTTTTTAAATTGATGGAACTAATAGACTTATAATTTAAACTAATAAATTAAATGGAAAATAAATTTTAAAAAAAATAAAAATAAGTGAAAAAGGATAAAACACAATTAGTTGAAGTGATAATAAAGTATATTTAAATAAATTGTAAAAATTTACGAAAAAGAAATGCAACTGACAAATGTAATAAATTTTTATAAATTTCTTTTAAATTTTAACTGTTTTAAAAAAAATTAAAATTTTAGGAAATAATTTTACACGAAAGTTATAACAGGGAAAAGAATGAAATAACACGGCTACATTTGTTCAAATGCGCCGATAATTTAGACAATAAATTGTTTATTTTATTTAGTTTAACTTGCTTTATTTTTGTAAGTGTTTTTTTTATTATTATTATTACTAATCTTTGTATTTGTTTTTTTAATTAAATTAATTATTTCAATTATTAATTCTAATTCTTCAAAACAAAAAAAAAAAAAAATATTTTATTAATTTTCTTTTTCTTTCATTTCTCTTTTAATTTTTTAAAATTTTTTCTTAAAAAAAAAAAAAAAAAAGATTAATCAAAAATTATAAAATAAATCATTTTTCTTTTTTTTCAAAATTCTGGCAAAAAAAAAAAAAAAAAAAAATGAAAGAATATGAAGAAAAAATGCATACCATTGAATATTTATTCAAATTATAATTTCATTTTAATTTCCAATATAATATATTATTCAAAATAATATTTCATTTAAATCATTTTGTTTAATCCTTTTTTTTTCAGTTTAAATTTAAATTTTTATTTTAAATTGATAAAAAATATATATATAATTTATAATTTTTATTTAGGCTTATCTAATTCCATTGCTAATGATG